AACAAAACAACTCTTCAAATCGTACCTGTGAATGGACGGAGAGGAGACACGTTAGTCTGGTCACAGCTTGTTTAATTCTGAAGCTGCGCCTACGCCGTGTTCCCCTAGTCCCCACAGTAGCGCTAACGGCACCCTCTACTGGTCGGAGTATGTACTGCACCCAAAACAAAAGGCACGCTAGGAATCATTCAACAAAATAGAGGGGGTGTCTGTTTCCATATAAAAACTTAAATACAGCCTTTTTTCAACCTACTACACTCTTCCCTGCTTTAAAAGATGACTCCGGCATCTTACACTAAGTGTCTCAAGTCAGGTCACACACAGTCTTAAGAAGTCATAGGATAATCTGAATGGTCACTTAAGTTTTTTTTTTTTTCAAGGTCTAATATGTCCATACGGGAGTAGGGTAATAGTACAGGTCAGGTTGAGCTGGGTGATAGGGCATAGGGACCCAAACCAGCATCATATTTGCTTCGGGTCTCCATGCCTGATAAGATGGCTGTCCAAACTGATGGTAAGTGAACATTTCTTTTGGTTTAATGGTTCTGGTGGATCTGCGGACTCCAGTTTCCTCATGTGCATTAGACACATTATTGGACTGTTGTTCTGTTTCCACATTATCGATATTGTCCATTTCAGGTAATTCAACAGCTGGAATTGTGACTAGTGGCGCTGGCCATTGGTGCTGCTTCAAATTCGACAGCTGGGATTGACACAACGGGGTTCTGAACCTCAATTTGTGTGGGTGCACTTTGTTCAGGCACTTGGATTGGTTGAGTACTTTGTCTTTCAGGTTGGAATGCAGGTGCTGTGGCTCTGAGGTCACAGTGTGATTGAGATTGAGTTTTATTTTGAGATATTGCTACATGTTGCCAGTTATACGTGTACTCCTCCTCATCCGACTGTTCAGACTCTGGCTCAGCAGCTTCCTGATTTTGTCTTTGCTCTTTTCTCTGTTTTTGTCTTGTCCGGTTTACGTTCTGATGTTCTTTTTCCAGTGGTAAATCATTGACTGGTAACAGAAGATTTCTGTGTAAAACTCTGAGATTGCGGTCTCCTGTTTCAGCTTGAACCTTGTATACAGGACCATCTCCCATCTTTTCAACAACTCTGTGGATACGCTGTTCCCAATAAGCTCTTAGTTTCCCAGGTCCACCTCGTTCAGAGTGATTCCTGACTAATACTCGATCTCCAGGTTGTAAAGGGATGCCTTTTACGTGTTGGTCATAGTACTTTTTCCCTTTAGCTGAGCTTTTCTGGCTGTTTTCTGAGGCAATTTTATATGCTTCTTGCATACGAGTTGCCCATTTTTCAGCATATTCTTGTTTTGTTTTACAGTCACTTTCAGGTTTAATGTCAAAAAGCAAATCTACTGGTAGTCTAGGCATTCTACCATACAAAAGAAAGAATGGTGAGTAGCCTGTTGCTTCATGTCTTGTACAGTTGTATGCATGGAGAATGTGAGGCAGATGATCTTTCCACTGTGTTTTCTTTTCTTCCTGCAGGGTACGTAACATCTGAAGGATAGTTCTGTTTAGACGCTCAACAGGGTTCCCCTGAGGATGGTAAGGGGTAGTTCGAGAATGGGTTATTCCCGCGAGTTGTTGGAGTCTTTGGAATAGACCATTTTCAAACTCTCGACCCTGATCATGGTGGAGTTTTTCAGGGTATCCAAACCTTGGAATGAAGTCATGGAATATTTTCTCTGCCGCCGTTCTGCCTGACTTATTTTTAGTTGGATAAGCTTGCGCAAAACGCGTGAAGTGGTCTACCAGGACTAGTATATACTCGTAACCGCCTTTACTCGGTTCAAGATGAAGGTAGTCTACTGATATAAGTTCAAATGGGGCACTTGTGGTGATTGAACCCATTGGAGCTTTGTCTGGGACACACGGATGTTTTTGTTTGAGACAAGTGCATTGGCGAATGACATACTCTTCTATGTCGCGCTGCATGAATGGCCAATAAAAGCGTTCTCGAGCTAAGTGAATGACCTTGTCTGCACCTACATGACCCATATCATCATGCAAATATTTCAACACAGTCTTTTTCAGTTTGTCTGGTAGAACTAATTGTTTCCTTTTTCCAGTAAGCCTGTATAGCAGTCCTTTTTCAAGTTTTAGTCTATTCCACTCATGTATTAGTCTCAGTGTTTCACGTGTCATTCGTCTTTTATCCTTTTCATTTGGATTCCATCCTCTTTTTCTCAACTGTATCACTTCACTGATTGACTTGTCCTCTTTTTGTGCAGTTCTGAGATCTTCGGGTGAGATTACGGGAGTACCTTCAGTGTTTGTGTCATTGTCATTTGAGTTTAACTGTAAAGCGGCAACCCATGGTACATCACTGTCTCTCATTGCTTTGTCACCTTGCCAAATTGCAGAAATAACTTCAGGCAGCATTGTCTCCGTGTACTCCGGCAAGTGATCAGACAGTTTAACTGGATATCTGGACAATGTGTCAGCATCAGCATTTGATTTTCCAGGACGATACTTGATGGTAAAGTGAAAATCTGCTAATTCACCCACCCAGCGATGCCCTGTTGCATTTAACTTGGCCGTGCTCAACACATATGTGAGGGGATTATTATCTGTGAATACAGTAAAAGTTGGAGCATAATAAAGGTAATCCCTGAATTTGTCACAGATTGCCCACTTGAGCGCGAGAAATTCGAGCTTGCCGGAATGAAGGTAATAGTTTTTTTCAGCAGGCGTGAGTGTCCTGGACCCATAGGCAATGACACGAAGTTTGTTGTTCTGTTGCTGATAAAGTACAGCCCCTAGTCCTTCATGAGAAGCGTCTGTATGGAGGACGAAAGGTAAGTCGAAGTCTGGGTATGCTAGAATAGGTGGACTGGTTAACATGTCTACAAAACGTGACACAATTGCGCAGTGTTCTTGTGTCCAATTAACAGGCGTTTTGGATGGAAGCTGACCATTAGTGTTTTTTCTTGAACTTGTTAGGTTGGCTTTTAGTGGGCCTATGCTGCACCTCACTTGGACTCTCAACAAGTTTGAATAAGGGTCTTGCTAGCCTTGAAAAGTCCTGAATAAATGTCCGGTAGTAACCTAAGAAGCCAAGGAGAGCTCTAACTTCTCCGACATTTTTTGGTTCTCTCTCTCTGAGCTGGTTAACTGCTTCTAGGTCTTTAGGGTCTATCTGGACACCTTCACTAGTGACAAGACGGCCTACATATCTGATCTGACGTTTAAAAAGTTCACACTTGTTAGGGCGTAACTTAACGCCATGTTCTCGAAGTCTGTGTAGAACATGTCTTAAGTCATTTACATGGTCAGTGAAAGTCTTAGAATAACATAACACATCATCTAAGTAGGGAGAACAACACTCATCTCTTAACCCTTCAAGAACACCTTCCATGCATCTTTGAAAGGCTGCTGGGGCGTTGGTAAGGCCAAATGGGAGGCGGTTCCACTCATATAACCCCCAAGGTGTGGTAAAGGCAGTGAGGTGTTTTGAGTCCTCTTCCACAAAACCTTGGTGGTAGGCACTACCTTGGTCTAATATTGAAAACCATGAGTAGCCCCCCAAGTTATCCAACAGGTCTTGAATGCGTGGGAGTGGGTGGCGATCAGGGATAGTTTTGCGATTTAACCCCCCGAAAATCAACGCACAGTCGTAATGACATGTCCTTTTTTCTCACACAGACCAATGGTGAGGAATAGGGAGAAGTGGATTTCCTAATCCAGCCATGATCAAGTAGCTTCTGAACATAGTCCTTCACTTCCTTATACAACGGCTTTGGAATGGAGTTGTAGGATGTCTGGACTGGCACATTGTCTGTAAGATTTATTTTAAGTTGCAGACTTGGGATGCAGCCAATGTCTGAATCACTTTTTGCAAAGACATCCGACTCCTCAAACAGCATGTCCTTTACAGTCTTTTGTTCTTCCTCATTCAAATGTGACAATTCAACAGGTGGATGCCATCTTTCACTTTTCACATTAGTTTCCTTTGTTTGGCATTTGTCACTGGTCTTCTGCACTGAACTGAGATTGGCAGAACATGGGTTTACATTTGTTTGATGGTCTAAGTTTAGATTGTCTGAAACACTGTTAAGAGGTTTTACTTCTGTAACTTCTTCTAATGTTCCCAAAACAATTCTCTTCGGAAGATAGATGTCATGTTTAGTGATGTTCTGAATAGGGATTTTCACAGTTTTTGTTAAACCACTAGGAACATCTACTAATGCAGGGAACAACTCTAGACCATCGGGACAGTTGTCTGGTATAGTGGGCTGAAATAACATTGCACCTCCTGCTGGCCACTCCCTAACCCTACACCTAATTTCACAGATCTGACCGGCAGGTACCATTACACCGCTTTTGCCAGTTTTGACTGCACATTCGATCCAATTATCAATTGAGGTAGAAACATCAAGTGCAGACACTAAAGCCTCAACCGTACTTGCATTAACACTTAAAGCCTCTTTGAGTAAATCTGTGATATTAGTGTCGGTGTCTTTGTAAGCTTTAATCACTTCAGCAATAACATTACTGCCTAAAATTGGGTGGTTAAGACAGTTCTGAGTGACTATAACTGGTACCTGTATAGTTACAGGTCCATGGTTACTGCTTTTGATCTCAAGTGCCATATCTACCCAACCCTCAAAAGGAACATTACTACCATTCGCAGCAGAAATTTCGAAAGGTTGGTCTGGAAAGAGGCATGTGAGCGGTTGAATGGGAACTGTTGGTAATGTCTCTTGCATCCATGTTTTTCCCACCATTGTCACTTGTGCACCTGAATCAAGTAGCATCTGGATTGGAGCACCATTAAGAGCACATGACACCATACATCTTTTACCTATGAGTTGAGCGAGTTTTTTCTTTGGTGATGGTAGAGTCGACTTTGGCATTGGATTTAGGCTGCTAGCGACTGGGGGCGCTTGGGCTGTCTCGGTCACTGGCTGCCCCTCTCCTGTGACCTTGTTGCGTTTCCCGACACTTTGCGCTGAAGACAGCCTATTGCCCTGTGTCCTGTTTGACCACATACAAAACAATGATGACATGGGTGAATGTTTTGTTGTACACACAATTTGCATCTGCCCCGTGTTTCACCTCGTACCTGTGGGTTTTGTCTCTGGGGGCTAGAGTCAACAGGTTTGGGGTTGCCAGGTGTTCTAGTCATTTGGGCTAGATGTTTAGTCAGTGAGGACACTTGTGCTGTTAGTTCTCTAATAGCATCCTGTTGAGTCTGTCGCTCTTTGTCAACATCATTGTCTTTAGTCTTGTCACCACTGTCAAATGCAGCAACTGTTGCTGTCTTAGTCTTAACAGTTGTACCCAGTCGTTTCTGTCTTTCTGCTTCTTCACTTGTGGACTTAGTGATTTGTTCTAATAAGAGGTCATCACTAACTTGCATGTCATTAAGGAAGGGTTTTAAGTCACGTCTGACATAGTCATTTTTCTCATTTAACCCCTGATAGAGAGTGTGGAGAAAAGTACCTTGTACAAGTTTAACATCATAAGTAAAACCAGTACCAGTTTGTTGTGACTCAAAAAGAACACGTTGTTTCAAGCCCATTACTCGATACGAAAACTGTTGTGGACTCTCTTTGTCTAACTGTTTAGCATTACTTAATTCTTGAAAAAGCTCTGTACTGTTTTTGTCACGAATATGAGAGCGAAGGAACTTCTTAAGCCCATCGACATTTAAATCACATTTGCTGAGTAGCATATCTCTAAACGTACCAGGTTTTGTGATTTTAAGCACACTTCTGATAACCTCAGATTCAGAAAAACCCTCATATAACCCTTCATCAATTTGCTTACACAGGTTACCATAAGAAACATCTGAACCTGTATCTGAAACCTGTCCACCATGGAGCTTAAACTCTCTGCGTGGGAGTAAGCTTGCAACATCACTGATACTCAACACCTGGTTTCTCAAACTGGATGATGGACTTGCCCCACTCAAAGGAGGGCCAACATTTCTGCTCATCTGGCCTGGAGGAGCGGAACTTCTTGGTGGTGTCCCAACATCTCTGTTTTCTCCAGGAGAGTAATCACTGGGTAAGGGGCGAAGTTCGTTGCGCTGAAGTGATGCAGAAGTGACGGTTTCTTCTGGGTAGGTGGTGGGCTGAACAAACGCTGGAGCCGGAGCGATGGTCTGGTCCTCTCTCTGGCTGACAGCGGGACCCTCACCTCCAGGACCTGTTGCAGCTGTAGGTCTCAGTAGGTCGGTGATCAAGTCATCCATATGGAGTAGTTGCGACATGCCTTCATCCTCCAGTGACTTGAGCTTGTCACCCCTCAGGTAATCAACGATGAGTTCATACAAGTCAGTGTCACCTAACTGATCAATGTTAGCAGTGACACTGCCATCATCAATGGAGCTAGTGATGGCTTGGAGCTGGCTTGTGTTCAGACTGGAAAGTTGTCTCTGGATCTGGACGATTAGCGCTCGCCGTGGTGCTTTGGTTGCCATGACGTCTTGATAGTGGTGAACACTCTCTGGATGACACACGTAGTAGGAGCCTTCCCTGAAGTTCTGGACACCTCAAGCGGTACAGGTGCACTCTTCACCAGGCGGTTGCTTTTGCTGCAATCCCGGACGAGCCCCCAATTGTTACCGGCGCCAGCCCTAGGGGAAAGCTGGGCGGTAGCAAGTGGCACACAGTTAAGGTTAAACTGTGTGGCCTAAAGGTGTGGTGTTGCTGTGAATGGACGGAGAGGAGACACGTTAGTCTGGTCACAGCTTGTTTAATTCTGAAGCTCATTGTTATTCATTTCTTTCTCATTTCATTTCGATTGGCTCAATCTCTCCAAAATTATATAATTGACAAAACAATAAATTACATAAGTAAATAAACAAATACTAACAGACAATAAAATAATCCATAAAATGCAAATAAATACATATAGTTTGAAATAAGTCCTAAGCAGTTCAGTAGCGATAACGTAACTGACGTTAGAAATGGGTAGAAATTAGAAATAGTACCAAAAATACATTGCTAATGTTGGCTAAACTCTCTGAAACTTTTTGAAAACCTTTACACAATGAACAAAAATGTATCTGAACCAAGTCTGAGTCAACAAAACAACTCTTCAAATCGTACCTGTGAATGGACGGAGAGGAGACACGTTAGT